CCCCTCCCGCCCCGGAGCCCCCGCCCCCGCCGACCCACCCTGCCGTGGACGAAGTAGACGGCGAAGACCACCCGCTGCTGGTCAACCCTCGCCTGGCCGAACGAAACCGGTGCCGCAGCGGGGAGGACGTGAACAGGCCCCCTTCCGATAGACCGCCAGCAGGGGGGGGGGCGCCGCTGTCCTCCCCGCCGCCGCCGTCGTGGTCGGTCCCGCCTCCGTCGATGGGAGGCGTGTGCATCGATGGTTCAACGGCGTTGCTGCCGGCCTCGGCGCGTCGGTGTTGCTTGTTGCCGGAGGACGCGGCGCGGGGGGGAGGAGAGTCGGGCTTTTTGGCGCCTGCAAGAGCGGCCGCCCAGCGGACGAGACGGCTCCCACCTGACAGGTTGAAGGTGGCCAACAGCGTACGGCGGCGAGGAATCCATTTTTTGTTCGAGTTGCGAGGCGGACGGAATGCGATGTACTGGATCGAATCTATGGCATCTCGTGGGCGACGTTCGGGATGGTCTTTGCTTTTTCTTGCATAGCTACGAGAGAGAGACTCGAGATTGTACCATTGAGTGATGATTATGTAGCTCGTGATAGCCTCTCAGGTATCAATAGGCAAGGTAGCTGTAAACGCGAGCGACGGCGGTTAACAAACGAAGATGGGCACACTACGGCAGGGCGTAGGTCGCATAGGTCGTGGTTTTTGGTACAGCAGCAGTACGGCGTCTGCTGTTCGATGCTACATTAGTGCTCCTTGCTCAAGCAGGAGAGCGTTCGCACAGCGGCCACCGCTGCCACCCCTGTCAATTTTAGCTTAGGGGACTTGGGCTGACCAGAGCAGCCTAACGCGTGTTTCTTGCCGACCGTCCGCATGTAGATAAGCGTCTAGACTACCAAGTATACCTTGGAACAGGTACCAGACGGTATACATAGGCAGCGTGTGTATACTTCTTCGTCCTCAAACGAAAAACAAAAAACTCAAAATAAGCCAAGTCTCCAGTTGGTTTCAATCCACTTCCTGAAAAGACTTCACCACATCCCTTTCGCCTGACGTTGTATCTCGAACGGGTTGTCGTCCTGTGAGATTAGACTACGCTTACTTTCTAAAAAACAAAGATAGGGAAATATTAGTTCCTCCTTGCGTTGCACGAAATCGAACGTCGGCAGACTCTGAAGGACTCCGAGACACTAAGCGCCCAGTCATCGAGGCACTTGGCTGCTGCACGAATAGGTATCAGTGACCCAAGACCTATTGTACCGTCAATGCAAATCCGGAATCAGACACATTGCAAAAAATCAGACCAGGCATGGACGCCGGACACTTAAAGATCGTTTCCTAATGGAGCCAGTTCTTCGCGTAGGGAAGGATCGCGTTTTAACACTTGCCGGCAATCAAAAATGGAGCTCACCCGCAGTGGGCCGCTTCCGCTCTGATCCAGATAGGTCCATAGGGTCAAAGGAATCTCTCCTGCTCTGGACATTGGCGTGCAACCGTGCGTTGCTGCCGTTGTTGCCGCTGCTGTCGGCAGAGCGCGGCACCTGTTGTTGTTGGTGTCTTTGAGGAGAAGCGCGGAACGTCGTTCCAACGATGCCTGCTGCTGCTGCTGCCACACGACCATCATCGTGGCTGTCCCGCCAATCATGGCGACCCCCGTCCATCACTTCTCGGCGGGTAGATGTGACGAAGTTTGCCTCTGGAGGAAACGAGCTCTCTCTCTCTACCTCCCTCGGATGCTGCTGTACACCGCTGTGTTCGTTCGTTGAAGTGCAGAAACCGAAATCGACGTTCTTGTTTATACGGCGCAGGCTCCCGACTCCCGACCCAAAAGGCTAGAGCAGAGTGGTCGGGTGTGCCTACGCCTACGTGAAATACTTCAGCTTCAGTAAGACGTAGTCGCGCTTCTTCCTTGTGTGGTTCTTGTGGTGTATCGACCGACCGAGCCTTGTCCTCTGCGTCCTGCGTCCTGCGTCCTGCGTCCGTAGGTAGCATGTGCATGGCATGCGGCGGATTGTCGGTGAGTCTTCGAGGAGGGGTCGTATCGGGATTGTAGTTCGCGTACCCCCCCCTCCGGTCGCAAGTCGGCTAGTCCAGACACAGAGTCCACAGCAGTCCACAGCAGTACACCTACATAGTGCTGTGCATAGAGGACACGAGGCTAGACAACGAGAACCTAGACAAGAAGATGTCTTCCGCTCTTGTTAGGGCCCTTTCGGTGGGAGCACGGGGTTTCCCTGCCGCGGGGGCAGGCAGGAGAGTGGGTGAAGTGGCCGCGAGAGGGAGAGGATTGAAGACGAACCCGTACGTCGAGGTGAGCGAAGGGGTGCCAGAGCGGACGGGAGAGTTGGCTGCTGTTCGTGTGTTGGTTGTGGAGTTGTGCGGCTGCACAGCAGCCTTTCTCTCCTTTTTGTTGAGAGCGTCATGTTGGCGCCCGTGCGTGTGCTTGTGCTTCCCCAGGCAGAACGAACAAGACGATTCGTATTGCTGTGCCGACCTATCACGGGCCTGCCGGTAGTTGCGTCACTGAGCCCTCGTCTCTCGTGCTTCCTGTCGTGAGACGCACACATTCCATCGCTTACAAGTAGCCTATTGGGGCACAGCAGTCCTTACCTTCCCAGGAGTGGTGATCGGTTGCGTATCACAATAGAGTCATCATACGACTTGTTTGCGAGATCAGCACCAGCTCGTACACCCGCACATACGGAAGCGAAGGGAGTTGCACCGCTTCGCATGAGGTATTATAGTGCAACGGGGTATGTACAGCGGACGTTTTTGAGGAGAACTACTTTTGTGCTTCTGTTTGTACTGGAAGATGTACAGCCGGAGTCGAGGTAGGGGTGATATTCGGTAGAAACGCGAACAAGTACCATTGCAAACGAACGTTGTTGGAACCTGTACTTGGTAATACCCCGATCGCGATAACAGCTACCGAACTCAGGACTCCGTTCTCAGAAATCCCTGCTCCGAAGAGGCTCAGGCCTGTGTCTACACGGCGGTCTTTGTGTGGTATAGGCCCATTATCGGACCTGGGCCCATCCCCAGTTTCCTATTTTCATCTACTACTGCTACACACCTAAGACAGGACAGCACAATATTCCGCGAGAATTCTTGCCTATCCGTCCCCAAGCACAAGCCATCACGCACACCACAGCAGCTCCATCAGGCAAACCATGCCAACACCATAACCTTTGTCACCTCATCACCTCGCTCCCCTAGTCACCGTTTCCAGTGGTCACGTTGCAAGCCTTGCTTGACAAGAGAGACCGCTGGGGGAGGCTGTAGCAACGTTGATATTCTAGGGATTCCACCTAAAAAACGCACGAAAAAAACGTGTTTTTTTATTTTCTTAATATCACAACAAATCCATCTCATGTTTGGAAACACTTGGCTTCTCCTCGGTCGGCCGCGGCCGAAAGAGCCGATTTCTGAAAAATTCGGCCGGAAAACGGCCGCAAAAAAAAACGGCCGATTTTGCAAACAAAGCAGCCGATTTTGGCCAGGGGCCAGCCGAATTTCAACTGGCTACGGCCGGTTCCTAATCGGCTACGGCCGATTCATAATCGGCTACTCGGCTACGGCCGATTCATAATCGGCCACATGGGCCTCCCCCCCC